CAATCCATTTTACCACCATAGCAGTCCTGTGAGGTATGCTGGGCTGAAGGAGGTGACCAGCCCACAGTCACCCAGTGAGCTTTGTGCTTGAAAAGAGGCTTGAATCTCCTTGCTGTGGACTAGAAGGGATAGGGAACCTCTGGTCCTCTATATGTTGATGGACTCCCAACTCTCATCAGCCCCAGCCAGCAATAGTCAGGGATGATAGCAGTTGTAGCCGAACAACATCTGGAGGTCCACAAGTCCACTACAGTGGTACCTTGGGTTAAGAACTTAATTTGTTCTGGAGGTCCGTTCTTAACCTGAAACTGTTCTTAACCTGAGGTACCAGTTTAGCTAATGGGGCCTCCCGCTGCCGACGCGCCGCTGCCCCATGATTTCTGTTCTCATCCTGAAGCAAAGTTCTTAACCCGAGGTACTATTTCTGGGTTAGTGTGGTCTGTAACCTGAAGCGTCTGTAACCTGAAGTGTCTGTAACCTGAGGTACCACTGTATTCCTGTCCTGGGATAGACAATACTAAGCTACATGGACCAATGCTTTGACCTGGCAGCTTCCCATGTTCCTTAGCTAATAAACAGCCACTTTGAACTGGAGGAACAGCAAGGTCTCCTCATGTTACTCATGCATCTCCCAACTGAATAGTTGGCCATGGTGCAAGCTTTATTACATTGCAGAGTCCAGCTTAGTGCAAGCTTCATTACCCGGCTTAGTGCACTGCTTACTGCAAGCAAACTTGCCTCTCTCTCATCACTTAGTGCAAGCTTTCCTATATGGCTGTGTCCGACTTTAGCAGGAGCTATGTCTCTGGAGGTTTTCCTCCTGAAGGGTCATAGTTCCATCGCAGGACTGACAAAAGGATCAGAGTGGCACAGAATGCATAAACATTTGATGTAACCTATGGGTCACAATAAACATAGGACTCTAGCATAAGGCATAGGAAAGCAGCAGCCTCAGATTACAGATTCCAAGTGCCTTGAAGGGTAGCAGAGTTGGGAGAAAAAGCACAGCATACTTTTGGGCAAGAGAATCCATTGTTCTCCTCTTTTGTTCTTTGACACCCTGATTTCCTTTGAGAGGAACTGGGGAGACAGAAATTTAAAGTATAAATAGATAAGCAACAAACAAACTCACTAGAGAGTCCTCAGCCATAAGCCTCATGGAATTTAATAGGCTTTCTTCCCATTTCAGTGATGTTATAGCTAGAGAATTGCCTTCTGATCAAGTGTGTGTGTGTGTGTGTGTGTGTGTGTGTGTGGTGCAGGAATGTCAGAGAAGTCTGGTGAAAATGGAGCAGAAATTGCCAGTGTTCATTTATTTGTCCCACGTCCAGAATGGAAACTGACCCAGCAAAAATTATCAGTATTTGCTGTTATTGTTTCTTTCAGTCCACAAAACGGTACATTACTTCCCCTCCCCCATTTGCGCTGAAATGAATGGGGTGGAATCATGTAATGACAACCTAATTTAGTTAATTAATTGTGTACATTACATAAGTCACATATTTTTGTCACAGTGGACAGCAAGACAAATAACATAGTTTTTGACTGAAGACGAACTGTGGAACGGAAACAGAGCTGCAAGCTGTATGCAGGACAGAATGCAAAGCAAGGCCTTTTCACATCCCTTATATGGTGGGGGCACCAACCAGATTTCCTGCATCAAAATGTTTTGAGCCTGCCCTTGGCTTAGGAAGGAGATTGGAGGTTGGGCATAAAGGTCAGAGCTACTCATGTTCTCACAATTTGCACTAATAAGCTCTTTTGGCCCACAATGTTGGAGCAACATAAAAAGAGAGAATTGGCTTCCTTAAACCCACCTTTATTTCTGCCCCTTCATTTTTGGTCATTGAGAAACAGCCTTTTGCAACATCCACCCATGTACTCCAGGTGTAGGTTTGGAAATGGCTGTCCCTTTTCTCACAAGTGGGATGTGTTTAGTATGTTCCAGCCAAGCAGAGGAAATCCATTTCCCTCCGTAATATTCCCTTCATATATACTCCTGTGTTTTCTGTCCCGCACGGTTGTCCTGGAATTCTGTGTGCGCTTAGAACAGCTGCTTGGTTCCTCCTTGCTACGCTTCACTGATGCGTGGAGTGACAACTCTATGGAGTTTGTAATGAGCTTCATGGTCCCTTGACTCTGATCATAAATTTGATTGCTAAATAATCATCCATCTATTTACTTGCTGCATCCAATGAACATCCCTTGTAGAGATAAATAATGGTGTTGCATTGCTGTGTTTCTTCCTCCAAGGAACTCAGAGCAATCTCTTGGGTTCCCAAGCAATTCCTCACCCAAACACTGATGAGGCTCAGATCTGCTGATCTTCAGGGGATGGAATTGCATCGGAGTGCCTTCAAATTGTTCATTGTTGAGGGCCAGTAGGAGTACTTAAAGTAGGGGTGGGCAACCCAGAGGCTACTTCCAGCCTCCCAAGCCACCGGAAGTTGCCTGTCAGGGCCCCCTCTGCCCTACTCCTGATCCAGTTAGGAAATGAAGCCCTCTTCTATTTCGAGAAAATCTTCAAAGAACAAGAAGACAGTAGGATCTTTTCTTCCACCTTAGTGATAAGTACCACAGCACTAAGATCAGTGATCTGCCTGCTCTGTAAGACTAAAAGGCAGTATTTACACACACACACACACACACACACACACACACACACACCAGCACTAGGATAGGGAGAAATGCTTTCCTTTTGATTCTTAAAAAGCATGCAGACAACACTTGAAGGGCACCAGGTTGGCGATGCCTGGCTGAAACTCATACCCCAACCTGTGTTTTTAGTACCTCCATTATTACATTGTGTGACCCATAATGGGAGCACTTCCATGATTCAGGCTGGCAGCCTGGCTGAACCTGTTGAATTCCCAAAGAACTTGCTGAACTCACAACAGAAGAGCAAATGAACTGAAGGCCTCTGACAGGGCTGAGGAAACTTTTTAGCCTGAGGGCTCCACTTCTTTGTGGACAACCTTCCAGAAGCCACATGCCAGCTTTGGACATGTCTAAAAGCAAACATGGTAAGAGCAATGGATGTGACTCTTGCTCATGTTCTATCCATGTAAAAGTCACACACACACACACACACACACACACACACAAACAAAAAACCTCCAGGGCTGGCCCAAGACATTTTGGCACCTGAGGCAAACCACAGAATGGTGCTCCCCTACCACCCAGCCAGGGAAGAAGGGGCAAGTGAAGATCTACATCAGGAGATACGATCTCTGTTGGAAGCTCTGCCAGTGACTGAGGCGTTTGTGAAAAGAGCCCCACCCTTAAGGATGTTAGAAAATTCCAATGAAAACAGAAACAGTACCTGAAAGTGCCAATACTCACTAATTCATCCCACCTTCAGAACAAAAAACAATCCAGTAAATACAATCAGTATCCTCTATTGTTGTTGTTGCTTTCAGTTTGCAAATGATACTACAGTTTTCCCCTGTTTGCACCATGTTTCCTTTGCAATGAAATGAACATAGTGGAAAATGACAACATAGCTTACATATTAATTAATTACATAAGTTGTGCAATTTTGCCACAGCAGATAGTCAGACAAAGAACATAGCTTTTGGCAGATGAACTGCAGTGAATGGAAACAGTGCTGCTGAATACAGGAGGGAATGGAAAATGTTTCCCTCTTACATCCATACTCATGCCACCACATACACTCGATGTGGTAATCACAACCCACGCACCACCAAATCCCTCCATCAAAGGTTCACCAAAATTCTTTTTTTCCCCCCTCAGCTTTTCCACAGGCCACTTTACCATACATTCCCATTGAAGCACCAATAAACACAGTATAATTATAAGCTGCCTAGATGGAGTGGCCACAAAATGTTAGCTGCTCAAAGTTCTTTGGAAGAAGAGCAGGATATAAGTGGAATGAATCAAGCCAAAGAAACACACAGCTGTTTGGCCTAAGAATTTTTCTGGCAGGCGGGTGAGATCAGATGTGGCAATCCTAACCCCACAGCCCATTGTGTACTATGAAAACTTCTGTCCAATATATCCTAGCAGAACGAGCCTCCATGTAATTTAATCAGAAGAATGAGCTGGAAATGTTTGCAAGAGCTAATGTTTGCCCTTCTGAAGGTTGGAGATTTGGTTTTAATTAAATTACAAGTGCTCCTTGTTAATATAACCAACGAAACATTTATTCTTTGGCCCCAATTCTTTTTCTCCTGCACGCAAGATCTATGCCCAGTTCCTCAAGCAAACAACCAAGTCTTTTTCAGGGCTCAGCCCTACCATCTCAGGCAAAAAACACAGAAGTAGTTTTAAAGAGTAACAATCACTCCATAATTTAGTTCATGCTTGTATTTTTCACCATGGGTTGGAAGCACCATTTGGAATTTCTCCTTCAGCAATCAAAATGTTTTAGGTCATTCCTCAGCTTCTCTTTTTAGCTGCTGATCTGAGATACACATATACAGCCGAACCCATCTGCAGTGTCATAACACTTTAATCAGTCATGGCTTCCCAAAGTTCAAAGTCCGGGGAACTGTAGTTCCTTAAGGGTGTTTTGAGTTGTTAGAAGACCTTTATTACCCTCGCAAAATTACAATTCCCAGAGTCCCCTGTGAAGAGGGATTGTAGTTCTGTGAAGGGAACAGAGATCTCCTAAAAACTCTCAGCACTGCTAACAAACTACACTTTCCAAGATGTGGGGAAGCCTTAGCTGTTCAAAGCTATATGGTCTTGATGACAACATCACATTGGCTACAAGTAGTTGGGATTGGATTGTGATTTTGTGTGGGTCTTTTAGAAAGAAAGAAAGAAAGAAAGAAAGAAAGAAAGAAAGAAAGAAAGAAAGAAAGGAAGGAAGGAAGGAAGGAAGGAAGGAAGGAAGGAAGAAAGAAAGAAAGGAAGGAAGGAAGGAAGGAAGGAAGGAAGGAAGGAAGGAAGGAAGGAAGGCACCTGCATGGATAGTATATAAAGAAGGATAAAAGAGGTGCACACAAAATTTGTTTTCCAAGCAAGCATCACAGTACCTTGTAGAGGCCATGGCTGCATCCACAGTAAGTGCTTTCCATGGTGTAGCTCCTCTGCACTCCTATTTCCCGCCAAACCACCACGCGGGCTGTCGAGTCACGTGACTTCTCTACCAGGAAGCTGCAGCTGCTCATGAGAAATACAGGAGCTACTTTGTCCAAGATCTTTGGCAGGGTCTGCAACACATACACACACACACAATAAATCTATAATCATTTAAATGTGTTCATCGCTGGATAAACCTACCACATTTTATCTACCTTTCCATCCACTTTTTCCCCCTCCAAGCAGTTCCAAATAGCACCTGTGGCTTCCCCCCCTCTCCTCCAGTTTATCCTCACAACAACCCTGTAAGGTAGGTTAAGCTAAGAGACAGTGACTGGTCCAAGGTCACATCATGGCTGAGTGGGCATTTGGACCGTGCTCTCCTAGGTTAACCACAACACCACACTGTCTACGACAGTGCATGTATGAAACCTGTGATGTAGTGGTTAAGGGGTTGTGGTCTGATCTGGGATACCCCCCAAGTTTAAATCTGGGAAGTGGTCATAGCTCAGTGGTAGAACATCTTCTTGGCTTGTAGAGGTCCTAGGTTCAATCCCCAGCTTCTTCAGGTAGGGCTGGGAATGTCCCCTGTCTTGAAACCTGCAGGGTGACTTCCTGCCACTGTAGGCAATACTGAACATGGTGGACTAATGATCTGACTTGATATAAGGCAGCTTCCAATATTCTTCTCTCATCTCAATGATGAACCCATTGGATGTCCTTATGCAAACCAGTATCTCTTGACCTCAGTCTTTGTCCATCTGTATTGGTTGTTGCAGGATTGTTGCAACCCTCTGTTCAGCAACTGGTTTTCCTGGATGACTACTCTGGGCATGACGGTATCTCTTTCCTGCCCCCGCTTTCCACATACAGCTAGCCGAGTAGCCTGCCAGTAAATACTTCTTCCCAGGTACTCCATTCTACATATCTCTTTTCAGTTTCAGACTGACAACTAAAGAAACAGGCGGCAGCATTCAAGAAACCAGTTTTGGTCCAGAGGCTTCACGTTGCTGACTGATCCCCCTGCTGTAAGAATTGCTAAAAGTTTGCAATCGTTTTAAAAACGAATGAAATACAAAAACAAAGGAGCTCCATTGGCTTCAGTCATTTTATTTATAGGAATGAATGGGAATTCAAATGAAGGAGTCCCAAATGTGTTTCAATAGCGCTGCTGGAACAGCCTGTACAGGCCACAAGAAAGGTTACAGAGAGGAGAAGGAAAAGAGCAATTAGGCTATGATGGGGGGACCTTTTTAATTGCTTCTAAATAGGGAGTTTTTGTCCTATCTATCTGAAATTTGGTAGAATTCTGGGCGAGGAGCATAATGCTTAAAAAATTCATGCCAGCAGGATGAAAATAAATCACAGGCAACAGAAGACAGGCTAGATCTCCCACTGAAATCGTTGGAAAATAACACTGAATGGAAGTTACATAAACCAATTATCTGGTTCTGAATTAGTAGCAACAGAATAAAAGAGTAATGGGATGTACTAAACATTTAATAATGAAAATGTATGGCATAACTAACCAGGAAAAAAACATTTTCTTACACATCTCTGAGAGTTGAAGAGATAATGTACAGGAAACACTTCAAACATATAGGGAAAATACCATAAATGATATGATTGATGTGATTGGATTTATTGGACTTGTATATAGCTTTATATTCTGTACACACACACCCCAACATACATATACACATATATGCACAATTTATTATATATATGATGCAATAAAACAAATTTAAACAATACACAGTATCATTAGAATAACCATTGTAAGCACACATGTAAGCACACACTAAAGCCCAGATTAAGAAACTGTAACAGCACTATCATTAAAGCTGTTCATATGCCAAATGCCCTGAATTCATTCATTCATTCAAGGATTTATATCTCTCCCTTCTAATGCAATGCATTACTCAGGTCAGCTTTCAGCAATTAAAATATCACAATTCTTCATAAAACAACAGGACCTGATCATGTAATGCAGTATAAAATAGAGGAAGGTTCAGGAAAGGGGGGGGGACAGAATTCATTTGCTTGGAAAAGCAAAACCCTCCAGGATGAATTTTGAAAAGTCTTAACCCAATCATCAGAAGTAGATGCACTGCATGGGGTAAGGTGTTCCACAACGCCATTACCAAAAAGGTCACAAACCTTCATGGGGGGCAGGCACCGAGAAGGGCATATGCACCAAAGCCACATTAACAGCAAACCTTTAAAACACAATGCTACCACTTTACACAGCCACATAACCTCCAAGTGTCCTGATTTTCCAGGGATGGTCCCAGAATTGTGAAAGCTTTTACGTATTTGGTTTTAAATGCATTGCAAAGGCCTTCGTATCTTATGTAGTTTTGTATCTGTAAGTCATTTCAAGGCTTTTTTTTGTGTGGAAGAGATTAATGCATATTAAAGTATCTATAATCTGCACTTCATAAGAGTAGAGGCACATGACACACAAGATTATAATATCAGTAAAAAAAATTGGCGCTCTAAATCATTGCGTCACACTGACTCTCAACATTCCGGAACACAGCAAAGCAACTTTAGAAGGCTTGCTTGCTGGTCCGAGAAACTAGGAGACTCTGCTTTGCCTTGGTCCGCCTCTGCCACACACAAACCAACTTAGGATGTCCGGTCCGAGCCCCCGCTGGATGAAAAGCAAACACAAGAACCACTCCCCAAGGCATGCAAATGCCTGCCACTATCACTCAGAATGCTCCTTAGACCAGCCTGAGCCAACCTGGTAGCCACACTGGCTGAGGTTGATGGGAATGGTCTGGTTGCCATTTCCATGCTGGACCAGATGGGCTGTGGGTCTGATCCAATAGGGATTTTCTTAAATTATTAGTAGGGTGGAGAGTACCTAATATGGATTCATGATATGGAGCTATTCTGATTTTCTTGTGAATTGCAACTGGAGATCAGCTGCGTCCTCCCCAAATCTCTGCCTCTAATTTAATAGATACACACACAAATAAATACTCTGTGCAAAACTGCTGGACTTTATACACTAAATGTTCTTCTGGAGAAAACGGTTGCAATATCTATTAGGGGGCGACTTCAGCTCTGATATACACCTTCTTTCTTTACCTGAGCAAATATCGCCACCTATGGTTCCAAGAGGGAACAGGATTCTTTTCACAGATGAATTGTGCTTGTTTGCTTTCACATTTCATTATCATTGGTCAGTAGATTACCTGATGCTCTATTATTATTATTATTATTATTATTATTATTATTATTATTAGCCTACAGCTAATATTGTTGGCTGATGGTAAAAGACTCTAACTCACTGCTTGGAAGAAACACACACAGATCTAGGAGCCACATTGACCATTTTAAACTGTCAACAGTAAGCAGCAGTTTTACTGTATTTGCATCCTCCTCCATCACCATCTTTCTCACACACATACACATATATGTGCATTTGTGTGGTATTTCTTACTGACAAAACAACAGGCATCCAGGCACATTGACATGGATCCTCTTACACACACACCACAAAGGCATGCTCAAGGTGTCGTTCAAGAGAAACAGAATAAATGCTATGCAGAGTGACATTGCCAAAACAAGAGGAAATGCAACACACACACAAAAGAGAGGATGGAAGAGGATGCTGGTTTGCACATCACTTGCATATGCTAATTTGTTTTGAAATGGATGCAATAGTTTAAATGGAAATGCAATGGCTTTCACCCTAGTGGAGAAGACTGTGACCAGGCAATGGCCCATGTGCCTTCCCAGTCTTCTGTCCAAACGCTGTTGATTGTGGTTGGGCACCTTCAAGGCCCCTACCCCTTATTCTTCTTAGGATTATTTTAACTGGACTTGTACCAGACAGCCCTTCAAATAAGAGGAATATCCTGTGTGAAGTTGGACACAAGACCAGCCTAATTATAAGCCTTTGATTCTCTCATCCAGGCAGGTCAAAGCTGGGCAAATCTCCTGTTTCATCCCCAAACATAGTTTGCTTAGGAAGACATTCACCGGCAGCTTAAGCTGATCCTGGAGCCTAACAGGTAAGGCCAGCCCAATCACAATGCAAACTGCAGAAATGACCAGTATCATAATGTGCATATGTCAATCATCCCCAGTCACCAAGCATTCAATAACCCAGTGCAGAGGAGGAGTCAAATAATAAATGCATGAGCAAGTTCTCTGCCTTGTACTAGCTGGGCAGCCTGAATTGTCTATATCGTGTGTGCTTTTTCTCTTGCAGTTCTGGCTGGACAGCCAGCTGATCACAGAAAAGGGCTTCCCTTGCTCCTGTATCAACTTGATCTGAAAAATCTGCAAGTGAAGCTTTTTTGGCAGCAGGAAAAATATAAGCATGGACACCTGCTAAAACCTGCAGATAACAAAAGCAATGGGGACTTGGGAGAGGGTGGAATCTGGCAAAACTAAATTCCTGCCTTAGCCCTTTAGATGCCTTGAGTTCCTTAAACAACATGTTTCAAAGACTGTTGGGATGCTCTTGAGGGTTTCAAACAGTGAGTCACTCCCAGCCCTACCTGGGAATACTGAGGATTGAAACAGGGACCTTCTGTATGTGAAGCAGATGCTCTACCACTGAGCTACCATGGTTTTGTTTAGTATAAAGGAATTGTTGGAGACTTTTAGTTTGTAGAAACTTGACTTGGGCTTGGTGCAGTGATTACTGTGGTCCATGGCTTGGGCAGAGTGGAATGTTCTAAAGACGCTCACCAACTTCCTCTCCCCTAGTTGCCATTCAGACAACATACACACAAATGCCCCCAAAACATCAGACCCACTCAAGCATCATCTGTGAAGGTCTGAGTATTTTCTTCTTGTCCTTGCCCAGCTGAGCCCAACCCAATGAAGGGATGATGAAAAATATATATGCAGATCCCCCAGCTCGATTCAGCTCCTTAAGACAATGGAAATTGTCTTTATAATCAACCTTTTTTACTTTAATTAAATAAAAAGGCTGGTAGGTAAGTGGAACGTAAGTGTGTGGAGTGCTCATTTGTAAACATTAGCAAATACGAATTTAATATTCTGTTTGTTGTAACCGTGTTTCTCAGGTCTCAAGCTAATGGTTCTTTCCTCTCTGTTTATTTTCTCATTAATTATCTTTTAATTGTACATTTCCAACAAAAAACAAAAAAACCCGATTCCAACCGACCCCATACCAATAAACAAACAGATCTATTTGTAACAATGTGCCAAAATGACTGTTAAGGACAACTTTTCCTTTCTGTTTTTCTCAGATATCTCCAAGGAGGTCATTTAAAGCTAAAGAAAACTCATCTACAAAATCAACATTCCAGGAGCTCAAGGCAAGTTTCACGAAATTTGCAAGCCCATGCGCTAAACCCTGTCCCCGGAGCCTACCCACCCCCCCAGAAATGAGACATGACAACAATGTATGGGTTTAAATTAGGTCACAACTTTGTTGAATTTCAGGTGTAGGAACCTTGGCTTAGGGCTTAGCAGGTATCCCTCTCAACCAACAGGGGCTGAGGATGTGCAGGGCAATCAACCGTAGTAGGAGGGAACTGTAAAGCATGAACTTGCACAGCGTGCCCTCCCACTTCACCAAAGCCGGGAGTTTGACCTATATGCTGCCGCTCTAGGGCCAGTGACTTCCGCAATCAACCCTTTAACAGGCCCTGCAAATGCCACAGTGTGGGGGTGCATGGAGATGTTACCCCCATCTCGAAGATAGACTATAGGAACTGACCAAGGCCTAAAAACCGCCAAAGTTGTGACGAATTGCTACAGGGAAGGCAAAACCTGCAAATGCAGGGAAAATGCCTTCCCGGTTCTGAATACAGCAACCATCTCACGACCATAGCAGCGCATAGGAAGCAAGACCTAACTTGCAAAATGAGACCATGTTATATTTTTAGGGAGAGTAGAGTGGGTGAATCTAGCAGGAAAACAAAGTGAGTCTGGGCCGAAGAGCATTGGCCCTTACCCCACCCCCAGCCACCAGCCCATTGTCCTGCCAAGATGGGGGCGGGGCGACGGCCACCCTGCAGCAAGGTGGGTGGCACACCTCTTGGAGAGGGTGAGCAGAAATTTTGGTGATACAAAAGCAGGGACTATCCAGTTAGTAAAGGTAAAGGGACCCCTGACCATTAGATCCAGTTGCAGACGACTCTGGGGTTGTGGCGCTCATCTCACTTTACTGGCCGAGGGAGCCGGCGTACAGCTTCCAGGTAATATGGCCAGCATGACTAAGCCGCTTCTGGCGAACCAGAGCAGCGCACAGAAACACAGTTTACCTTCCCGCCAGAGCAGTACCTATTTATCTACTTGCACTTTGACGTGCTTTCGAACTGCTAGGTTGGCAGGAGCAAGGACCAAGCAACGGGAGCTCGCCCCATCATGTGGGGATTCGAACCGCCAACCTTCTGATCGGCAAGCCCTAGGCTCTGTGGTTTAACCCACAGCACCACCCGCGTCCCTATCCAGTTACTAAGCTGAGGGTAATGCTGTTTACAGTTAGCCAACCAAAAGGGGTATGTGGAGGTGTTGCCTACAAGTCAGGAGCCAGGGTAGCCTCAGTCCACTTATGTGTGGAGTCAAGGGCAGAGCTATGGCATTGTGTAGAAAGGCTGTCTGTGGCGCTCTCAAGAAGGAAAGAGGTAAAGACTGTATGAAGCATTTTATGGACTGGTGGGTCACACCTGTCAGGAAACAGGTTTCATAACACGTGGGTGTCAATGTTTAATGCCTCCACTGTCAGACTGCAGCAGAAGTTTGCTCGTGGCTCATCCATTGCGGATTCAAGGCACACACCTCAGTTGCTGGAAGGCAGTCCTTTGATGCTCTCTATATGCTTGCCAGCAATCCCCGGTTTCCTAAAGTTTGGCGGCAACAAAGCTCCAGAAGATATGCTGACGACGAGCTTTTCCCCCACCTTCCGTCCCTCACCCCGCCAACGCTATCTTGCTCAGGCTAAGGAACGCCGTGTGAAATATTTCCTCTGGTCAATGTTTCAGGCTCACGGTGTGCTCTATTAAGATCACTTCGGGAAATGCTTTCACTTTCAATTACAGCAGGTGCAGCTAACCCTTAGCACTGCAAAGTGGGAAAGCAACGCACACAGCTAAAGGTATTTACAATAATTTTCTTCACCGCACACACAAAAGGTGGCTCCAAAAAAAAAAGGAAAAAAGGAAATCATTCCATCTCCCACCACCACCTTGGTTCCCCATATTCATTTTCCAACAGATGCTCCATCTGCACTATACATATTTAAAGCAGTATAATGCTACTTTAAATAGTCATGGCTTGCCCCCTGGGAGGCGTAGTTTGTTAAGGGTGCTGAGAGTTGCTAGGAGATGCCCTATTCTTCTCCTAGACCTACACTTGCCAGAGTGGTTTAACTGTCAATCCCTCTTCTCAGAGAACTCTGGTCATTGTAGCTCTGGGAGGGGAATAGGGATCTCCTAACAACTCTCAGCCACCCTTAACACACTACACTTCCCATGATTCATTGGGACAAGCCATGACTACTTAAAGTGGTAGGATATTGCTTTAAATATCATATATATTTAGGTTTTTGGGGTTTGGGGACTTAAGGGTTCTGAACATGCTGGCACCTCTTATCTGTTTCTCAGTGGCTCTGTGTGGTTTCCTCTCTGTTGAAATTCTTACCACCTGAGTTTGTTATTCTATAACTGTTATTATGTACTGAGTTGAATAGGATCCAAAAGGCAGCAGTCTGATTGGTCCTAGAACAATAGGGTCCAGAATGCAGCAGTCTGATTGGTCCACAGGAGCCACCCAATCCAGCTCCAGGTGGAAGTGAATCCGCAACCTGATTGGCCTACAGGTGAATCCCGGAATTAGCCAATCACGTGGGGCCCATTGTGTAAATAATGTATATAAAGCAGACATTCTGGGGGAACTTCCATTCCTCCTCACCACTATGAGCTGAATAAAGAGCATGAAATCCACTCTCGACTCAGAGTATATTTCAATAACATAATTACAAAATCAAAAGCAGGAAAGTCCAGGGCTATCTCCAGACTAGAGATGTTGGAGAATTCAGAAGAAAACAGAAAAAGGAAGTAGAAATTGCTGTAGTTCATGTGTTTGTCTATAGTCAGGAATAGAAATCAGGCAAGCGAATACGATCAATATTTGCTCACCTCTTTGTTGTTTAATTGTGTCTGCAAATGAGATGTAATTAATGACTTTTTTACATCGCTTTGATGTTTCTTTTACATTGAAATTAGTGTGAGCTGATTAAGTTATGTAAACAGTTACAAAAGCCATGTTCAGTAGCAGACAGGGGCACAAATTATATTAGTATTTGGTGGAGATCGAATTGCAGCAGAATGCAAACAGTGCTGATTATGATGAATACAGGTCAGAACAGAAAGCGCTTCTTAAATCCCTACTCAAGACTGTCAGTATTTTCCAGAAGGTAGTCAAGCACATATCAGGAAATGTAGGTTTGCCCAATTAAAGTAGGTTAAAGTGTTCTCTCATGCAACCACAAAAGTTCCACTTTGAAAAAGAAATAGACTTTTTCCAATGGAGGGTTGAATCAATTATTGTGGAATGAAAGAACAATGAACAGGAAGGTGTATGAATTCCCTGCAAGCAAATCAGGATGGATGCAGGATGAATACTCATTGTCAAATAACCTCCCTGCAAACAAACCAGAATGAATTCTGAATAAGGATCAAATACCATTTTACCTCTGTGTAAGCTTTGCACAAGCAAATCAGGACAAATGATCAATAAACAGGTCACTGAGAGGAGCAACAGGGCAGTTTCACCTGGAATTTTTGTGCAAAAGTCTGTACTATAAGAAGAACGTCTTACCCGGTATCCAACATCCTCGGTGACAACAGTCGTATCAACAGTACGTCCCGCCTGCCACAAGGTCTCCTTTATACTGCATCCGTATAGAAATGCATTCTTCTTCTGGGAATGGCCGTGGTAGTCGCAAAACACCTGAGGATAAGAGAAAAAGAAAGCTCCTAAATCTTGCTGTCTTGCAGGAGAGAGCTGAGTAGTTGCTAAGAAACCACTACTGGGCCAAAGAGAAAGCTGTTCAAAAATGAAGCCTGGCCTGGTCACCTGTGCTGAATACAGCATTGCCTCTGGGTGACCATGCATGACAGTAAAGGACATTTACAGATAGGTAGCCGTGTTGGTCTGCCATAGTCAAAACAAAAAAAATTCCTTCCAGTAGCACCTTAAAGACCAACTAAGTTAGTTCTTGGTATGAGCTTTCACAGAGTGTATCTGAAGAAGTGTGCATGCACACGAAAGCTCATACCAAGAACTAACTTGGTCTTTAAGGTGCTACTGGAAGGAATTTTTTTTGTTTTGAGTAAAGGACATTGTTTCTGTTGGGGGAGGCTGATAGGCTAGAAATGACTAAGAAAGGCACAAGAGAGGTTAGCAACAACGGATCCATTCCTACCTGGATGACCAATTCCAGAAGTTTTGTTTATTGCTATGCTGAAGTTTCTGTCTCTATTTTTCCCCAGCCATTCTTGGGGTGATTTGTGGAGAATCAAAGCCCCTCCAAAAATGTCATAGAGAAAAAGAATTTTCTCCAAAATCTGCACATTAGGATTTAAGGATTGAATGGATGAGGTGTTTGGTGGTTTGGGGTTCTGTCATATTCCCAGTGTGATGGGACCCTTTCTCCCTGTCTCCTCTACCAGCACTTAACTAGAATGGCTTCAGAACGGTGGAATGCAGTGTGGTGTTTCGTCACTTCCAAGTCACTCCAGGAAGCAGGGGAAGTAAAAAGCGAGCTGCACATCCTGAAGTGGTTTGGGAGCAATGCAATGGCACATTGTATCATTCTGAAACCATTCTAGTAAGTGTGGGAGTGGGGCGAGCAATGTTGCCCTCAGGACTTCCTTGTGTGCTTGCCATGAGCATCTGGTTAGCAACTGTGAGAACAGGATGTTGGATTGGATAGGAGTGGCCCATTTTAAAACTGAACCCGAACTCCTTAACTTTGCAGAATTAAGGTAAGCAGCAGCCCACACCTGTGCAAATATTTTGGAGAGAAAAATCTGTCACCCTAAAAATCAAGAGAATAGTGCACCCCAGTTTCTGTGTGGGTGCAATATATTTTGGAAACTGAAAGTAGGATTTTTGGACCGTCTCTACCTTGGTTTATTTTCATTCCGCTTTTCCACAGTGGATTGTGCTCAAATCTGCACATAAGAAACATCAACTTATAATCAACATTGCCCTTATAGGTGGAGGGGGACAACCAAATTTCTTACAAAGCACTTTGAAAACTCAAATAAACAAAGGCAAACACTTAATAAGCAAAGGATAAACTAAATATTATAATGAAATAATCTAGTCTTAATGCATACCAAGAACAATGTAAAAGATAAATTAACAGGATAAAACAAAACGAAAATCCAGTCCCGCAAGCACTAATTTTTCTGTTTCAGATACTGTTCAGAGATGTTGGGAATGGGATCATCTCACAAGGCTAGATGGTTTGCAAGGTGCTGTTTGGCACTACTGCTCAATCTCTTCGCATTTACCCTATGTCAGGGGTGGAGTACCTCAGGCCCAAGGGCCAAATGAGACTCCCAAGCCCCTCTATCTGGCCCTCAGGTCAGTCCCCTTCTGCTCAAGCCACACCCCTCATCAGCCCACCTTTGCACCTGATAATGTCTCTTGCTTGTCCAGACAGAGGGCGGAGAGGGGTGTGTGAGTGTGTTTAGAAACTACCTACTGTACAAAGGTAAAATTTAAGGCTGTACAAAGGTAACCTTTACATTTGTTGCTCCACCTACTTTTGTCTCAGGCCCCACCCACCATTGGCATGTGGTCCCTGGAAGGTTGCCTAGGTGGTCCCCGGGTTGAAAGAGCTCCCCTACGCCTGCACTATGAGGTCCTGCAGGAGTCTGTCTTGTATCTCACGCTGTTTAACATCCACAGGCAACAACTGAGAGAGGTCATTCAAAGATTTAGGACAGAGCTGTTCAAAATGTAATTGTGGACGTTGCTGGCCCATAGCTACTCTTGGGACTTCTCTGCACTTCAGATTTGTATTGATTTCATAGCTGCCATTGCTTCCCCCAAAGAATGATGAGGTTGCTAAGAACTTAGCAACATAAGACGTTGTCTTTCAGTATGTTGAGTCGGACTGTTGATTCATCTAGCTCAGCACTGCCAATACTGACTTGCAGTTCTTCAACGTTTCAGGCAGGAGTCCTTCCCAGCCCTACCTAGAGATGACAAGAGATTGAAACCTGGGACCCTCTGCATGTAAAAATCATGTGCTCTACTACTGAGCTACACCTGTTCCCAGATTCTTTGTTAGAGACCCTACAGCTCCTAGGTTCCTCAAGAAGAAATGTCTCTTAAGACAGTTTAATTCTAGAGTGCAGATGCAACCACGGAAGAGAAGTTCACAAGATCCTACTCTGCAATAGCAGGACAATTTATCAGCTTCCTTTTTGGTTTCCCTTTCCTGTTATCATTGAGAGAACTGAAGCCTGCACATTATGAAGCAATTAAGCACCACTTGGCTGTCTTTAAATCCACAGCTTATACCACGCAGTTTGCAGGAATGGAAAAGCATGCAATTATGTGAGCTGCTCCTGTACACTGTTATTACATTATGTACATCCAGGTGATTTGAAGAACATTATATGACCTTCCTTTGTGGCAAAATACTTGTGTTTCCCCCCATCTAATATGACTGTCTAATCCATCTGCCTAGCTTCTGCTGCTGCACACAAAGCTGATGGCTGTTTTATCAAGGCCACATTCAGGTTGCCTTTATATGCAGCTATCGACTGATCAGAGTGAAAAATCAGGATTTATTGACGCAAGAGGCTAATATTGACCGGGGCTTTTGAAGAACAATCAATTTGTCCCGTTTGCTGAGATGGGAAGCCAATACCCATTGGCGCTACAAAACTTCTCCGCATCTTCACTACAGTATTGGGAAATCTCTAACTTACAAGCATAGGTTTTTAAGGAGTCAGTTGCTTCTTTAAGGTAATGTCTCCAACAGAGAACGAGAAGGCTGTAGGGAGAAATCAGCAGCGCAATTTATCTCTGACTCCCCAGTGCTGCTTCCTGTTGTGTGAGAGAACTGATAGTGATGGGCAGATGAATTAGAGTAGAGGTGGGGAACTTCAGGCTTGTGGGCCAAATGTGGCTAGTGGGAAAAGTGGGAAAAGGAGCAGTCGGTTTTTCAGGGATGGATTTGGGGTGGGAGTGGTGACTCCTGGGGCAGCAGAGGGCAAAATGCCATTATCAGGGGGCTGCAAATTGGGGGTGTCCACACACACACACACACACACACAAATACACGCATAAGTGTGTTGGAGAGTGTGTGAATGAATGCCCAAAATTTTGCTGAAAAAAAAGCTCTTTCCTCACTTTTGGGAAATGGAACAAGTTAATATTTCTAATCTCACTACATCTCCCATTTGTCTGTTCATAAGAATGGAGGTCATCAAGATCGCCATGTGAAAGTCAGTTGTCACTGCATTTCGACAATCAATGTAACATTGCAAATAGAGTGTCTCTTTGGTCAACCCTGGTTAACCACAACCCAAACCGACAAATTGACTGAGGGAAAGTCATGAAGATCAGAAAAGATGACTATGCAGGTTGGTTTGAACTCCAAGATCTCCTCCTTTCGAAAACAAAACATTGTCAGGCTATCAATAGCTATTAGGCTGAGCAGGGAAACAGGGCTATTCCATCCGCTCTGCTGAGCAACCAGCTGCCTTTGGCCCTCCTTCCAATCTCATATGGCCATTTCATTCTGCTTCCCAAACTGCTTGCATCCCAGGTGGGCATTTTAACAACAGTTAGTTTAAGAAACTGGCACCTGATCTTCCTGTTCCCTCTCCTCTCCCCATTCCATCTTCTCCTTTCCTTTTCTGCCCTGTCTTTCAGATGTTAATCCTGAGAGAGTAAAGACTGCCTTGACTACTTATCTTGTAAGTTACTCTTGGAGTCTTCTTTGGTGAGAGATTGAGGGTGGGGATTAAAAAAAAAACCAGAAAAGAAAAATGTTCAGAAGCAATATACCTCAGGATACCCAAAAGGAGACAACCATTGTCTTCACGCTCTGCTGGAAGGCTTCCCACAAGACTCTGATTGCCCCCTGCTAAGAAACTGAATGCTGACCCAGATTGCTTTTTCAGGCAATCCAGGAAGCCGTGCTTCTGTTCTTCTGATGGAACTCCATACCCCAATTAGAAAGCCAAGGACAGGCAACATTTCCGGAGCCTGAGTCTTTTGAGTTTGTTTCTCTCTACACCGGTCCTTTGCTACTCTTTGAATCATGCACATATTTTCTGGCTCAGTCTCCAATTCATGCATTTTGGAAGTAAGCCTCTGTATTGTTTTCAATTACCTGGTATTGGCCCCATCTGAACAACTGAGTTTGTCATTAAAGAAAGAGGCTGCAGATATATAGATACAGATGATATAGATTTATCATTATCAATATGGATAGATATAATTTGGCTCTAGTATTACTTCCAAGCTCACACAGCTACTCATAGCTTTGTTTAACCATAAGTGGGACATTGTATTTATTTATTTATTTCCCGTATTTATTTCACCTCCTCTTTGAATATCGAACAGGGATTTCATAGCCTCAGTCCCATTCTGAGATAGAACGCCCAGTTCCGCTGGGTACCAATTACCAGCCAATTTAGTGCACTCCTAACAACTAAAAAGGATCAGACATTATCCACCTAAAATACAACTTTCCACGTTAAAGAAGTGCCCAGGAAACCTCAGCGTGCCAGACAGCTGGACCGCTTAAGCTTCCCCAGTTTACCATTTTGCATCCGAGAGATTAGTGCAGGCAGATCTGTAATGATAGGGCCATTATTGGCGTGCTGAGAGACAGGGAGTCCCACTTGCCAGTGCAGGATTATACCAGATCATCAGATGGAAAGTGTCTTGGGAGCTTCAGCAGAATTTAACCTGTT